TTGCTTTTTTTTTTTTTTGTCGGTGGTAGGGCTTGAACTCTGGGCCTTGGCGCTGTCCCTCAGCTCTTCAGCTCAAGGCTAGCACTCTACCACTTGAGACACAGTGCCACTTCTGGTTTTCTGGTGATGAATTGGAGATAAGAATCTCAAGGACTTTCCTGCCAGAGCTAGCCTTCAACCACGATCCTCAGATCTCAGCCTTTTGATTAGCTAGAATTACAGGCATGAGACACCAACACCTGGCTGCATTTGATTTTTTTTTAAAAACCGTAAATGTAGCACTTTTCATTTATTCTTCTGAAATTTCTTGTCATTCAGTTGATTAAGATGTGTGTGTAGCTGAGTGCTGGTGGCCCATGCTTCTAATCCTAGTTACTCAGGAGACTGAGATCTAAGGATTATGATTCAAAGCCAGCCTGGGCAGAAAAGTCCCCATGAGACTCTTATCTCTAATTAAAATGGAAGTGGCACTGTGGATCAAGAGGTAGAGTGCTAGCTTGGAGCAAAAAGCTCAGGGAGAGCACCAGCCCTAAGTTCAAACCCCATAGCTGACCAAAAAAAAAAGTGTGTATGTGCGTGTGTGTGTGTGTGTGTGTGTGTGTGTGTTAACATTTAAGCCTGGGCTGCATAGTGAGACACTATCACTAGAAGTAGAAGAAGGTGGCAGGGATAGGGAAAAGAGTGGCCGGGAGGGGAGTTCCAATCCAGTGTGGACTACCAAGTAGCACCTTATCTCAAAAAATTAAACAGCTATAGACAGATAAATGAAAAAGACAATGTTTTTTAGGTTGATTTAGCAATTTTCAAGTATACATAAGTATTGAACTATAGTTGTTGTGCTGTACAATAGATCTCCATTCATTCATTCATTCTCATTAAAACTGTATTTTGTGGCCAACATCTCATTCTCCCAGCTCACTCAGCCATTGGCAACCACCAGTATACTCTCTGCCTCTTTGAGTTCATTATTTTTAGATTCCACATGTGAGTGGGGGACATCTTGCAGTGACATTCTCCAGATTAATACATGTTGTCTCAAATGATAAAATTTTCTTCTTTTTTAAAGTTGACTAGTAATCCATCGTGTGTGTGTGTGTAGGTGTGTGTGTGTGTGTGTAGGTGTGTGTGTGTGTATTACTATATACCACATTTTCTTTCATTGCGGGTACTTATGTTGATTTCATAGCTTGGCTGTTTTGACTACTGCTGAAGAAATATAGGAGTGCAGATGTCTCTCCCACATCCTGATTTCATTTCCTTTGGATATAGGCCCTGAAGTAAGATGGTAGCTCTATTTTCAATTTCTTGAGGAAGTTCCACACTGCTTTCCATAATGTCTGTATCTTGGTCAAAAATCTCCCAGCCTGAATTGACATGGGACCACTCATTTAACATAATTTACTGTTAATCATCTAATATTAGTTTCCTCATTTCTATCACTTGCCATTTTATTCAAAAGGATATCAAAATTTCAGGCAGTAGGCCTTGTTAAATCAAGATATACTTTGTAACATTTTGTGGATTTGAAATTTCAAAAGTCTTCCAAAAAAAAGCCTTTTCAAGAGAAAGAGGAAAAAATGAAGTAAGAGGAGGAGGAAGAGGAAAAGGAGAGGAGGAGGAGGAAGAAAATGAGGAAGAGGAAGAAGAAAGGTTAGCTTGTTCTTGGTCAGAATCCAGCTTACTTGTTTAAATCACTTCTTGTTAAAGTAAAAGCTCACATATTATCATATGGTAACCATTAAGGCTGCCACCAATATTCCAACTCTCTTCTGTTTTACACACAGTAGGATTGTACTTCCCCATATACTTGAACCCTTCTTCAAATTATACATCTTTGTAATAACAGCTTTAGTCACTGTCATGGGGAAAAGTGAATATGTAACTTCTGCCAGACAAATGAGTCCATTCCATTGCATCCTTTTTCCCTGTAGCCTTGGCCATCAGAATGCCCCTGTCTGTATTGTCAGAGTGAAATGCAGCAACAGAAGACAGCCTCAGCCAACCTACAATGGCAGGCAACATGATCAAGAAGTAAGCTTTTGTTATGGCAAGCCACTGAAATTTTAGTTTTGTTAATGAAGCACAATCTAGATAATCTTGACTGATAATATTATATTCACCAGGCTGTATTTTCTGGAATCACAATGTTAACTATCTTTTGCAATTTGGAAGAGCAGATGATTCAGAAAATATGCCACGTGGCATATACCCTGAGGGCCCACTAGTCACCCCATATGCACAGGGAATGCAAACCTTTTTGCTTACCAATCCCCAAGGAAGTTATAAATGATTCCATCCTGCTGAATTGTGAAAGGCATAGATGAGACCCAGATTTAGCTAGGAAATGTTGAACTTTGCATCCTTTATGGATGTTGTTTGTCCATGTGACTGCAGTGGTGGAACTTACCCTCTTCACAGCCTGTCTCACTGTCTGTTGTTATATGCACTAACAAATATGACACTGCTTAAACTACATTTAGCAAATTAGAAGAAATTTAGAAGACAAGCTGTGGTTTTCTAGCCCATCCTTTGTTCTTATTACTTGAGACTAGTGATCATTATTTAAGATAATATTTGTCAGTTATTATGTTTGTGAATGTAAGTTGTCTAAGAGTAGCTACTTGAATTGTTTGTTTTCATTTTGCCAGTCCTGGGGCTTGAATTCAGGGGCTTGGCACTGTCCCTGACCTTCTTTTGCTCAAAGCTAGCACTCTACCACTTGAGTCACAGTGCCACCTCTGGCTTTTTTCTGTTTTATGGTACTGAGGAATCAAACTTAGGGCTTCATTCATGCTAGGCAAGCACTCTACCATTAACCATATTCCTAGCCGGGCTACTTGGATTTATTTAAAATCATTGGGTGTTAAGTCAAGCCCTGGTGGCTCACACAGATTGGATGGGTGAGATTGGAAGTATCAAAGTTTGAAACCAGACTGGACAGAAAAGTTCCTGAATTCCTTCTTAACCAATAGCTGGGTGTATTAGTTCGTGTCTACCATTTTGGAGATGATAAGAAATCTAAAATAAGCAGATCTCAGCCCAGGAATGTGCCCAGGCAAGAAACAAGTCCATATATGTAAAAGTAACCAACACAAAAGGGGCTAGAGGAGCATCTCAGTGTAAGAGTGCATACCTAGCAAGCAAAAGGTCCTGAGTTCAAACCCCAGTGTTGCCAGAAAATAAATACATAAACAAAATGTCTGGATGCTTTATTCAATTTTTACCCACATTTTTATACTTTTTAATTCTCCATGGTGGAGAAGACAGAAGAGTTGGTGAGGATATTCTAAGTTTTGTTCTTTTCCCTCTTGCATTAATTTCTATAATCTCAATAATGTTGAAATTATCCTCTAGACTTAATTTGTTTTCTTTTTTTTTTTTTTTACTCCCCAGGCCTTAGCACATATACCTACTACATGCAAAACCCCCAGATTTCCTTATGAAGGTTATCTAGTTTCTACCATGTAGTACTTGTTTTTACAGGTTTCTATACATTCTATAAATTTTCAAGTTTGTCATGTTTCCCTACCTTTATTTTACTGCCCAGTGGTCTTTTTTTTTTCATCTCTTTTGCCACAAGTCTCAGGGAAAGATCATTAGCAGCTCAGGCTCCTTTCTGTTGGTTCACATGAAGTACGCTTCTTTGGGTGGAGCAGGCTGGTCTTCACATACACTCAAGTTCAAGTTCCTTTCTCTTTGACTTTATTTTCAGATCATTTTCCTTCACCAGTATTAGGAAGCTATCTTGGCTCTTAAGAGTACTTAGTATGCTCAATTAGCACAATAATTTTCTTGGCAAGAATCTTTCTTTAAACTCATTCATAGCAATGACAACAGGATAACATTATAGATTTTCCCAGTTTGGCCTTGGTAACATTTGTGAGGTATTTGAATAGTACCCATTCCTTTCATGGCTACTATATTGCTCTTCTTATAGAGTCCTGCATGTGTGACCAAATGAACAATTCCATGTTTTCTAACAGGCCTAGAGTACATATAAAAAGTACTCCTCTTCTTTCCTGTTCTGGAAAATTACTTGAAAAAAACCAGTTCCAGTCAAGATTCACTAATTTTTTAAAATACTTTCCTTCAATCTAAGGAAATTACTTTTTTCCTTTTAATATACATGTTGTCCTAATATGACCTATATCTGCTTGAAGTGAGCACTTTTTCCCTGCTGATCAGAACCAAAAATAACAGAGATATGGATGTGTGTGTAATTGTTTTTTTGTACTACCTATTGCAGAAACTTGGCTTGCTCTGAAGAAGCTAGCAATGTTACCACATTTAGACATGAACATTTAATTATCCCCAGTGACTAAAGGAGTACCTTAGGTAACCCTACTTTTCTCAGAACTAACTGGGCAGCAAACTGAAATTTCAACATTTCCTTCCACTTACAGCTTTAATGCCTACCTTTCCTACTTTACACACACCCATGGTCTCACTCTATAGTTAACATTAAACCTTAAAATACTTAACCTCTTTTATATAGTCTAATATCCACCTATAAATACATATAAGTATGCACACACAACTCACATCTACATTTTAATTTTTAAGAAAAGAGATAAAACATTAAAAGAAGGTGAGAGGAACAAGGAAATGGGAAGCTAGAAGGGAAAGGAGTCTGGTCTAAGTGGACAGAGCTGCTGGCCTTTCCACAGCAGGTCTCCCAGTGAGATGAGGGCTTACCTGGAACTTTATGGAAATGGACTAGCCCATTATATGTCCTTGGTAATGGTGCTCATTTTGAAATGGCTGCCCAGGGTTAGAAGGTCACTCTGTTAAGGTTATTTCCCCTCTGTACAGAAAAGTGATCTTTTTGAAGTGTTACTTTCTCTCACAGTATCACTATTCAGCCAACTTAAATAAGCAACCTACGGTTAAAACAAAGTCATTGGCGCAAAAAAGAAAGAGAAAAGTGAGCAAATATATTTTTGTTTCTAGAAGACTTATTTGGAAACTGCTTCCAGTCATTTAAGTCATTTGCCTTGAATATGAGCAGTCAACAAGAAGAATTAGAGGACCGGGCAATCGTCAGAATAGCAGCTCACTTACCGGACCTCATAGTCTATGGTGATTTCACTCCAGAGCGACCCTCGGTGAAATATTTTGACGGAGTCCTAATGTTTGTTGATATTTCAGGCAAGTGCAAAAGGGTTGTTTGTTTAACATGAGCAGGCAGCATGCTGGTACAGAATTCACATGCAGAACCTTATTGCAAAGTTGGGATGCCCTTTTCAAGCTCTACTGAGAATGCAGGTTCTCTCCTGCCTCTCCCCCATCTTCCAGTTATGGGGTGTTCTCTAAAGATGCCCAAGTCTCACACCAGGGACTTCATGCTTCTGTGTCCTTGTAGTGTAGTTCATGGCTTCATCTCCCAAGTCCCACACCTGTCCCCAACAAAACTGACCTTAGGAATTGATCTCCCTAGAAAATTACATCTCAACAGTAAACTTCTACCTTTTTAAGGAAATCTTGAAAATTGTGTATTTTTATTATCCTGGAATGAAGCTTTCTATTCCAAATGGAATTTCAGTTATCACTATATAAGTTGAGAATCTGGCAGGAATTTCTTTCCCTGTCCCCTAAAATAATAAACACAGATGGAGGAGATTGTCTGTTTAACACATGATCAGCCACAGAGAACATGAAGAAACTCTGGTGCTTCTTAAAATATCACTGCTCTCCAAGATAACTTTCTCTGGCTCCAGAGAAGGTGACTCCTCCAAAGCAGTCAAAAGCCAGCTGCCCGTTTATTACAGGTTTTACTGCAATGACTGAGAAGTTCAGCACAGCCATGTACATGGACCGTGGGGCTGAGCAGTTAGTGGAGATCCTCAACTACTACATAAGTGCGATAGTGGAGAGTAAGTATTTTCCTAGGTTTCTGAATTCATTACTTTTTCTTTTCTTCTCTTCCCCCCCCCATTGTTTATACCCAATGACAACTGCTTAGCATTTTTCATAGTCCCCAGGAAATGGGTATACAACCACTAAGGTGATGTTAGGGAAATGAACCCTAAGATATGTATTCAAATGTTTTTTTTTCTTTCATGCGATTGTTTCTAACGCATTTATAAGATTATGTCTTTGTTGCTTTGTATGTCCCTCCCCCACAATATAACCTCTGCTTTCACTGTATTTGATGTTGGTATAATTTGTGGAGGGGAAGGGGAAAAACAAATCGTTTAAATAGTGATACAAGTGCAACAATGAGATGTACAAGTCGTTATGTCAAAAACGAACTTTACAACTTTGGTGGGAGGGTGGGGGGGCAGGGAGGATTGGGTGGGGGTTGGGAGAGCATGGGAAGGGATGGGAAGGGGAAACAAAGCAGGAGGCTACAATGTATTCATTATCTTGCCCATGTAATTGTAACCCCTCTGTACAGTATTTTCACTATAAAAAATAAATAAAAATTTAAAAAAAGAAATAAAATAAAATATGTCATAATGCATGTAGAAGAGGTATCATTCTCCATATAAGCCAAATATAGTCATTAAGAGATGGATGTATGAATAGATAAGAATGATTTGTAATTAACGTGTCAGTCATTTGTCTCTAATGATGGATTCTGAAGCCCTTACAGCTGAGTGAAAAGACTGGTCTCCTTTTAAGCTCTGTCTGACATTTGTTTACACTTTTAATGTGAACTATTCATAAAGAAAAGGATTTATTCTGCTAACGTAAACTCTAGGCTTGCTGCTGTGTTAGGATCTATATTCCCTACTAATTTCTTTTTTTTTTTTTTTTGGGTCCGGTCATGGGGCCTGAACTCTGGGCCTGGGCACTGTCCCTCAGCTCTTCAGCTCAAAGCTAGCGCTCTACCACTTGAGCCACAGCACCGCTTCCGGCTTTTTTCTTTTTGCTTATGTGGTGCTGAGGAATCGAACCCAGGGCCTTGACCATGCAAGGCAAGTGCTCTACCACTGAGCCACCTTCTCAGCCCTCCCTACTAATTTCTTACCATCACTCATGAGACCAAGTTTAATGTTCCTTAAAGCAGAAACAATATCTAATTCCTCTTTGCATCCCACTCAGCACCATAGGTACTCAACAAGTTTGTGATGACTTGTGGGCTTGGGTGCTGTTCAGTGATAGTTCATATGCCTAGCATGCATGAGGACCTGTGTTCATCCCTACTATCAAAGTCAAACAAAAATGTCCATTTTTACTATAAAGTGTAAAATTTTTAAATGCAAGTCTGTACTAAACAAAGCCCCAGTTGTTTCAATTTTCCTATTTCCAGAATCCCACATTTTGTGGAATCCTGCCACTCATCCACCCATCCACTCAAGGCCCAGGATACAAAAAGTTTTCTAAAGTTATGGGATCAGGGCAGCTATCCTCAGGCCTTCTGGGAAACCACATCACCTGTCTTCTGACCTTTCCCATTCACATAAATGGTTGAGCACCCTCATTCTGTAGTTGAATGGATTTAAAGAGATAACATCTTTAGCATTAGTATATTTTGTGAATTGCTGCTCTCCTGACTCTTTTCTCTTCTGATACAAAATGAATTCTTTTTACTAGCTTTAAGGAAATCAAGAGCTTGATTTAAATTGTTTTCCCTTTTTTTCCTCAGAAGTGTTGATTTTTGGAGGAGACATCCTAAAATTTGCAGGTATGGAGGCTGCATGGGGAAAGGCAGGAAAGAAGCACCAAGGAGCCTGTGCTCTGCCGAGGAGGCATCTCAGGGGCTGTGTTGGATGATGTGGTAGAGTTATCTCTCCAGAGCTCATACAAAATGTACTGATCCCCAAAGTGGATCCAAAGTCCCCAGTATGTCTCTTTCTTAAAGGTGATGCACTCCTAGCCCTGTGGAAAGTGGAGCGAAAGCAACTGAAAAACATTATCACTGTGGTGATTAAATGCAGCCTGGAGATCCATGGGTTGTTTGAGGCCAAGGAGGTTGAAGAAGGGCTAGACATCCGAGTTAAGATAGGTAAGTGTTTGAGAAAGGGTAAACGCTAGCTAACATTTTTCCAAAGACAAATCAGGAGAACATGATGGCTTGGTCCCACCATCATGCCTTGAACTTCAGAATTTGGCTGACCAGAATGAGAATTTTAAAGAATTGAAATTTATCATCAAATCTATATAATGAGCAATTTTTAAATTAGTTCATACAATATTTGACACATAAATCCGTTGAACAGCATAATCTTTGTTTTTACTGTTGTATTAAGTGGCGCTGTATTACTTGAACCATGTCTCTAGTTTCTGTGATTGCTGTTATTATTACATCTTTCAGTTTGTCGACATTGGATATCATTAAGTACAACAGAGAGTGGTTTGTCATTACTTAGATTGCTTTATGACATCTCCCACTTTGTAAGAATGATGGGCAAGAAGAAATTTGCAGATAAGCCTGAAACTCAGCTCTAATTTTATACAAGACTTGTTAAGATTGTATATATAATACCTTAACAACCACCTGAATTTCCACATTGCATTGAGCATATTGCACACATTGTGTCATTTTTGTTTGTTCTATTTTTTTATTTATTTTTTATATGTGAACATACTGTACAGAGGGGTTACAATTACATGGGCAGGATAATGCGTACATTTCTTACCAAGCATTGCAGCCTCCTCCTTTGGTTTACCCTTCACATCCCTTCCCAGCCTCCCCCCTCCCTCCCTGTTTGTTCTATTTTTGGTTTTGTCTTTGTTTTTGCTTTAAGACAGGGTCTTGCTATATGTCATAGGCTGGCCTTAAACTTGCTATGTAGTCTAGGCTTGTCTTGAACTTTTGATCTTCCTGTCTCTGCTTCCCAAGTACTTTGATAAGAGGCATGCCTCCACCATGCCTGGTTACTAAGTCGTTTTTATTTCACCGCAATCTTGAGGTAATAGTCATCGTTGCATAGGTGAGGTGTTAATGAGAGGTAACCACCAGAGGTATGTTTAGAGGTTGGCTGTAGCTTCTGCCTATTTAAATTCCATGAAATTTGAAAGTCTCAAGTATCAGAGCTGAGATTATCAGAGGTTATCTATGTCACTGATCTCACTTTTCTTTCATCTTTGCCTCCTTTTTCTGTTTTTCAAAATTCCCAAATAAGTTACATATGCTGTTGAAAAAAAACAGTCATTATAATAATGATGTAACATCCTTATTGAACATGATGATAGCTCAAATCCTCAGGTGCCAAGGGGCTGGTAGAGAGGTGAGTTCCAGCATCTTTCTCCTAGTAAATCTAACTAAGCCACCATGTTCTCCAGATGGAAATCAGCATATCAGAGAACAAAGACAGAAAACAAACTCTGACTTTATTAGTTTTAATCACTTAGAAGAAATGTATGGGTATATATTTGACATCCATGTCCTGTTTTACAGCATCTGTCTTCTATTGCTCAACTTTCATTTCTCAACTGGAAAAATGAGAGATGAAGAACCATTGTTGGTTGAGTTTAGACATGTGACTGTGACTGTTATTTGAGAGTCTTGATACTTCTTTTCCCTTAGTCTTTGGCTGTTGACTGAAATTAGAAACAAAAGTCCTTTTTAGTTGAAGCTTCAATATCTGATAACATGGAAATCCTCTCCAAACAGTTTTTTTTCAAGTCCTGGACTTGAACTCAGGGCCTGTGCTCTAGCCCTGAGCCTCTCTATGCTCAAGGCTAGCAATCTACCACTTGAGCCACAGCAGCACTTCTGGCTTTTTCTGTTTATGTGGTACTAAGGAATTGAACCAGGGCTTCATGCATGCTAGGCAAGCATTCTACCACTAAGCCACATTCCCAGCCCACAAATTCTTAAAGTTGTTCTTCATTGTTCTTAAGTATAAATGAATTGAAGACAAGGTAAAATTACTGTGGGATGGGCAATTATCTAGGGAAAGAAATCTCTCTGTGTATCTCTCTGTATATCTCTCTGTCTCTGTCTGTCTCTCTCTCTCTTTCTCTCTCTCTCTCTCTCTCTCTCTCTCTCTCTCTC